CCTTGCTATTGGCTGGTCTGCTCTTTATTAGACCATCGGGTGTTTTTGATAGGCTTCAGAGAGTTAAATAAATGCAGCATAAACAAAAGTAGCACACCTTAAATATTCCACCACACACAGGTCTCTGCCATCACTCCCCACTTACACGTGGCTGTTGGTCTCTGATTTTATTGATGATAGTTTACCTGAGACATCACTGTGGATGTAAGAAGAATTAATTTTTTGGTTTAACAGAGTAATAACCTCAGATTTTCTCATAGGGCAAACTAAAAGCAGATTTGGGGTAGTATTTAACATCATCCATAAACATTTCTTGTTTTGCATCATAAAAAGTAAAATATTTGTGTTTATATTTCCTCTCTAATACATGGAAACTTCAAAGTCAAAAGGATCAATACTCATAAGCTCGTTGCCTGCCCCCGCTCTTCACAGACCCTGTATTTCCTTTGTGGATGGAGCTTACCTTTGTTTTCTTTAGGGTCTGTTTTGTTTCCATGTAACTTTTGTAACAGATCCTGGAGCTGTGCAGCCGTAATGTAAAGTTTATGAGTAACGTCAGTGTCTTGTACTCACGTTTACCTAGTCTCTTCTAAAAAGAGAAAGACAACTTCCAGGCGCAGACTGCCCAAGGTGACTTTGAACTTGTTAGTCTGCCTCTGTCACTTGAGTACTGGGTGTGTGCCCCGTGCGCATGTCTTTGTTGTGAGCAAATGTGTGACTTTCAGGTGATTATAAGGTTGAAAATGGACCATAATATTCTCTCTCGTAGGCAAAGAATAAGAGCTGAGCCAATTTGATACTGAGTTTTGATCTTTTAAATCTTTGAATACATTTTATTTCTGTTTTATTTGTATTGTTGGTATTTGATACCCACATTTAAAAGCCTCTTTATTTTTATAAAATCATTATAAGCTGTTTTTGCCTCTTTAAAACAGTGACAGGTGAAAAGCTAGAAGTCTTGTAGCTTGAGAAGTTTCAGAATCGTTGCCCTCTTCCCTTTATTTTATGAATCAACTGTTAGATTTGTATCTGTATATTCCAGGTTGGTAAATGGTTTATGGCTGCAGGGTCGTTCATGACTAGAATAGAGGTTGTAGAAGTGTTCCCTGAAAGGAAGTCTTACAGGCGTAGACTGCATTGCCTATGTTGTGGAGTGAACACATATTTAATAGACCCAGAAGTATTTGTCAAACTTTCAGGAAACAAATGTGTAATTACTGTTACAAAAGAATGTTCTGCCTTGTTCACTGTCCTATTTTAGATCTGCCTGGCTGATGGTGACATTTAAAAGTGCTTGCCACACAGGTGCAGTGTTCTTCAGCTGTTGGAAACATTCTCTCTTCCTCTCCCCCCTCCCTTTAAGGTATAATCAGGCATTTAATCCCACTAGTGTTAGAGATGGGATTTGCAAATTTGCGTATCTCTATACATGAAGATAGAACTGGGATCATTGTTAGTTTAGATGCAGCCTAGGTCATTGCTTGTTTAGGTGGTAAATGTTGCTGCTGAGATTAATGTTTCCTAGGACTCATAGCTAGTGTAAGGTTAGTTTCAGAACTCCAAGTGGCTGCCTCTGAGAGCCGCCATGCCTAAGTCATGGCTCTGCAGTAAACTGAGAGGGCTTCTCTTTGTTCTTAAGTCCTCTACCTACGCACGGGAACTCGCATAGCGCAGGGACTAGTTTGGGAATATCTTACATCCAAAGATAAAGCTGAATTTTGATGTATCAGTAGTGAATCCAAGAGTTACAACTTTTAAAAACAGAAGTCACTTGGTAAGTGCCAAATCGAGGGGCTGTGATTAGTCAGGGTGGCATTATTCTCTGATTGTATAGCTTCTTTCCATTACAGCCAAGCCCCGCTGTTTGCATTCACAGTACGTAAACCTACCAGTTTGTATGCGTTTTCGGCATTTACTTGTTTATGTCTCTGAATCTCTGTGGAACATAAGTACCACAAGGGCAGGGGCGTAGTTTGGGCCACTGTCAGCTTGACACAAACCTATGCATACCTGCGAAGCGCGTGTCAGCGAAGGGGTTGCTTCTATCAGAGGGGCTTGTGGGCGTGTCTGTGGGGTCAGTTTCCTGACTGCCCACTGGGGCCGAGCCATCCTTGGGAAGTGGGCCTGGGCTGTGTACAAGAAAGGGAGCTGTGAAAGCCAGGAAGTAGCATTCCTTCCTGATCCCCTCTTCAGTTCTGCCTCTGGCTTCCTAAATGATGGAAGCCACACAAATTCTCTCCTTCAAGTTGCTCTTGGTCACTGTTTCAACTAGGACGAGTATATTGATTTATTCCGCATATTTACATTGCCTGGCATGTAATACTCAAAGCACTGGTCTCTTTTCTGTCAGTCAGTGACCCACATGTGAACCCTTCCGAAAGGGCATCCGTTCATTTGGTTAAGAATAGTACAAACTATAGTGTACCAACTCATAGATGTGTTCATAGCTTATTCCTCATTAGAATTCATAGTGGTTGATAAATGTTCAGCTTGAAAACTGGAAAAAGTTTACATGTGGTGAAGGGTTTGACAAAACTAATAATGTTTTTGAAATTGCTAACAGAAGTTTGGAGAAGGAAAATAAAAACATGTCTTGTTAAGTTTATAAGCTAAAATGTAGTCCTTTGAGGCAAAATGTGATAGGAAACCTTTGGAAGATTTTGAGGGTCAAATTAAACATTTTCGGAATTCGGTTTGTAGTCACGAGTATAGTTTGAAGGAGGATATACATGTACAAGAAGAGTTCGGAATATGAAGTTTGAAATACCCTGGACAGAGGAGTAGAGGAAGGAATGGCCAGACTAGGGGAATTTGAGAAAAAGGGTGCACAACTGTTTGGAAGCATAGTGTAGAAGCTGCAAGCTTGGCTGGCGCGCGCGTGGCTTCGGCTGGCCGTGCCCTCGGGATGGAAGCGTGGATCTGGGGTGCTTGGCACTGTCACTGTGGGGTTCTCCCAGAGAAGAGACCTAATGTAGCAGTAGAGCTCTGCTGCCAGGGTTTTCCATGTTGTTAGCTAGGTCACTATTGGCAAGAATATTTGTGGTGTCTTAAGCATAATTCTTTTTCTCTTTAAAGACCAGACAGTTCCCGTGAGGTGTATTCATGTTTTAGAAATACTGAAATGGTTTGAGGGAAGGAAGATGTGTGAGCATACTTCCCTCATAGACTTGAAGACTGACTTAATGTCTAAGAACTGCTGTGAGTGGATAGTTTCCTTTTAAAACTTACTCCATCCTGCTCCAAGCTTCCCTCATAATTTTAACACTGGCACTTCCACAGCATGGAGTAATGTGCATACATACCTAAGTGTGGATTTAGCTTAGACGACAGGAAGCCTTTCCAGTAATAACTGGCTCCATGCACACAGACATGACACACCTGGTTTCGGGTGTGAGAGGCTCACGGAAGAGCAGTCTGGCAGCAAACCACTCCCGATTTACAGTTAGTTCTGCTGTCATGTCACACTTGAGCTGGCTTCCCATTTGAAGGCGACAAAAGCATGTTCATGGCAAGTGGAAAAAAGCTGAATCAGGGCGTTGTTCAAGGACTTGAAAACTTGCCTTTTCGGGAGTGCATGGTTTTTATGTTTTTTTTTTTTTTTTTTTTACTTTACATAAAACCAGTTATTTTTTAGTATTTCTTGACCAATTTATTTTAAGATCGATAAAACATTTTTGGTAGTGTATTGAGCTTTATATAGCTTTATTTCAAAGTGTTCTGGTTTAACATTAAAAATTTAATGCTACTAAAAAGTAGTTTTGCAACCCATGTGTTTGCTTTTTAAAATAATATTTAAGATTTTACTTCTTTTTTTTAGTCCTGTTTTGGGAACTACCAATTTTTCTGTCTTTCAGAAATACGCCTTCCCCGGTGTTAATGCCTCCTTTGTTGTGTGGAGAAAGGCTGTCTAATGGACCATTTGGAAAATGTGACAACAGCATGGACTTTTCCCCCATTGCGTTTTTATTGTACCTTGTCGAGATGGCCCTGGACATGAGCTTTCTTAGCATCGGGCAGTTCCTGGTTCCTATGGACTTCCTGTTTTCTCAAATAAAAATAGAAAAGCATCTCAGAAAGGAAATCTGGTCAGGGTGAACTATTTCATGAGATCAGTTGGACATGGCAGTGGCCAGGATTGTATAGTATATAATCTGAATATAATGTGTACCAGTCTTCAAGTGTCTGTGAAGTCTGAATATTTTTGTATATAATTTTTTTGTATATAATAGGATATAGGAAGAGGATCTGAGTAACTGTGAGAGATGTTATATATTTAGCATTGTAATCTGGCATTGTATTTTGGGGAGATTTTAGGGGGAGGAAGATTAAATGAAAAATACTGTAATTCTCTTTATAATACTTGATTGTCAGATACTGACATCTAATTGCCAGCTGCTCTGATCTGTATAGTTTCTCCTTGTCATTTTTCTAAATGTTAGCCAAGAGACAGAAGGTGTCTTTCTTTCTGGTAGATATTGGAAGTTTGAATCCTAAAAGAATTACTTAGTTTTAAAGCAACAAGTTAAGGTAGAAAGATGGCGTCATTAGTAACAGTAAAATGGGCAGTATGCATTAGAGCCTAGGGAGTGGCAGCTGTGCCTGTGAGGGCATCGTACAGGGCTCCTCGTTCTGCCCTTGCAGCAGCTGTGTAAGGTGTGTGCTGCTGCTACCCCTCCTTAAAGGGAAGGTTGTGCAGTGACCAAGCCACTAAGTTAAGGAGGTATTCCTAAATACTGGCATGGAGATTTGAGTTCCTGGTTCATGGCACCAGAACTCTGGCTTCCAGTTGTGATGGCTTTACAGTGAGAATGGCTAGCATAGTTAGTCTTATTACTCTCCCAAGTTTCTAAGTCCACTTTATTTACATTTTGTTTGCATATGTGCATTGGTTTAACAGTTTTAACAGTAGTATATGCTAGCTTCTCAGGGTACTTGTTGAGGAGGATTTAAATTCTTGAGTGATGCTAATAGTTCTCTTTTTTCTTTCTTTTCCTTGATAGTAAAAAACCCCTTTGATGAAACATTTGGAAAAATGCAAGTAAGTAAAAAATCGTAATGCTTATAATTTATGTCATGCTTTAAGTGATGAAAAGATTAAAGTGACTATAAACTAAGAAAAGTAACTTTAAGGCCCTTTTAGTTAGAGGCATTATGTTTTATCAGTCTGGGTATCCCTGCCTGTAATTTAACTAAGCCTGACTTAGGGCGCCTCCAAAAACTGTTTTAGTGTTTATTACGTTAGTGTAGAGACACCTGCCCCATCAAAGGGAGTGGTTCTTACACTTGGAAGTATGCCGTGTTGCCCCAAGTTCCCCGTGCCTCACTGAGCAGCTCTTTGCTCTGCCGGTGTGCTGACCCATCAGGGAAGCTGATGTCTTCTCAAAGGGGATGTAATGACTTTACCCAAAGGGCTAGGCATATCACAGACACTGGGGATAGTTAAATATTTACAGCCGGTGTGTATATTATAGAACACAATTCTCTGCTATTTTTTCGCTATAAGAACTGACCATTACATAGATCTATATTGAAAACTATTTGTTTTACTCAAGGGCGTGTAATAAAGTTCAGTCAGATCTGTAGAATATTATTTCAGATTGTTAGGAGTACAGCTTTGGAATAATTCTGTTCAGTATATTCTGTAGTGAAGGCATTTATTTTCTGTGAATTTGAAAACTGAGTCGTAAAGACGTGGCAGCCTTGTAACTAAGGCTTAGTCCAGCGAACTCATGGAGCCTTGGTACAAAACCGTTTCCTTTAGCTTGTGATGTCACAGTGTCAGTTTAAGAACCATGGGTTTCAGCCTCAGCTTTTGCTTTTTGGAGTTTGGATTATTGCATGCCCCCCCCCCCTTCTATTCTGTCTTTTGCTTTTGAGACAGTCGTGTTATATCGCCCATCCTGCCCTTAGGGTTGCTCTTCTCCTGTCTCAGTCTCCTAGTGTTGAGGTTACAGGCATAAACCACTGTGCTCTGCACTTTGGATTTTAATTTTGTGTGAAGATAGAAATTGCCTTGGTTCATAAGGACACAAAGATGACACCAGTCAAAGGGTGATGTGGCAACAAGCTTAGAAGCAAGCAGTCACCTGGAGGGACGGGCACTGTGTCATCATGAGATATAGTCTGAGGACATGGTGGGAATTTGCTTCTCCCGCTGTCACTGATCGTGGTGCACTGACGATGCTATGTTCTCATTGTGTGCGATTGTGTGCGAACTTGTTTTCTTTGTCCCCTGACGTGGATGTGGGGACAGAAGGACGGATGCAGGTTCGTGTCTCTACCTTCTCACCCAGCCTAGACTTGCTCCATGGGTGTGTTCATCGCAGTCCTGTTCTGTCAGGTCCTCCAGAAAAACGGCAGTCATAAAGACACCCCTGATAGCCATGACTTTATCTGGCTCAGGGTTAGCATCTCTGATTTTTCTCTCATCAGGGACACTGGCTGTTCTTAGATTTCCGTATCATTGTTTAGACTACTTGATAGATTCCACAGACAGTGCCGTGTTTACTCCAGATCATTCCTGCCTTCTGCTCAGCAGTATTTCAGTCACGCACAAGCCTGATCTGCCTTTCTCCTAAATCTTCAGAATAGTGCCAGACTTTCTCTTCATATCTAGGGCTCTATGGCCATTAATTCTGAGCTACTTTTCCTTCGTTTGCTCCTGTTTGTGTAGGGGATAGAACCAATGCTTTCCTGCTTCTCGCTTCTACTCTGCTTGTGCTGTTCTCTCTATCTGGGATAATGGTCAAGTCTTCTTCCTGTGCTGCCCAGCTCACATGAGCCTCTGTTTGTTTGCATGGTAGTGATGGTGTTCTTGAGAATGGAAAATACCTTGTTTATTGTGTCTCACTTTGCTCTGAGAAAATAGTTCTTTACTCCTTAACTTTATTGAATGTTCACATCAGTGGCTGGCTACTGTATATGGGGCCACCTTGAAAGTCCAGGACAGGCTGTATCTGGAAGTAGCAGTATACACTCTTTTAGTCTATGTGATTGAGTCAGATTAGAAAACAAACTGTGGAGATGGCTTAGCAGCTAACAGCGCCTGCCAGCAAGCATGGCATCCTGAGTTTGAAGATACATGGTGGAAGGAGAAAAACGATTTCCAATAATTGTTCCGGGGTATGCCCGTGTGTGTGTGCCAACCTCATGTGTACACAAGTTAGATCAGTCACTCAAACACATAATGCAACCTGGATGGGAGAGAGACAGGAACAGTATATATATGTGAACACACATTATATACATTTTATATATATATATATATATACATTATATATATATATATATAATGTATATAGTGCTCTGCCTGGCAGGTTATTGTGTGTGAGATCCTTTTCTGTAAATTCTTTTTTCTAAGGTGTGTGTGTGTGTGTGTGTGTGTGTGTGTGTGTGTGTGTGTGTGTGTGTGTTGAGTATGTACATATACGTGCTGGTACCTGCTGAGGCCAGAGGCATCAGTACCTGGGGAACTGGACTTAGAAAAGCTTGTAAGCTGCCTGGCCTGGATTGACCCTCTGGAAGAGAAACCCTTAATCACTGAGCCACCTCTGCAGCCCTCTGTGCCAACTTAATAGTCCTAAGAAAGTAAAATTCTTAACAGTGATCATGTATGATGAGGTTCTTTAAAATATAGTAGCTATTGTTTCCATATGGATTTGTTTTTTCAGATATATAGCTCTAACCATTGTAGCTCGTGATTTCCTCTTTTAAGTAATTATAGAAGTTTTTCTTAGAATTTATTTCATAGTAACTTTTTTTTTTTTTTTTTTTTTTTTTAGGAAAGTGAGAGAAATCTTGTGATGAGCACACTGTACAGACTTCATGACCGATTGGCCCAGCTTGCAGGTATTGTCTCCCTTTTTACTGTCCCCAGGCCATGTCTAAGGCACCCGGGGTGTGCGCGTGTCAGCAGGAGGAGCCCTGCCTGGTACAGACGCACATTTACTCAATACCTTTCTTTATACAGATGCAATCAAGGCTATGTCCTGCTTGCCATATGTGTTAGGTATAATTTATGTATATTTGTCAGTAGTAAATTCTGGAGGCTCAAATAGCATTTGAATTGGGTAACAGCGATTAATTAAAATCGATACAGAGGTATAGATTTTCATTGGTGATTTGTGACGCCTGTAGTTAAAGTAAATACAGTATTCTATGTTTAGTTGAAGTCATATTCTGCTCTTATTAGGTCTATTAGAGTGCTTAGGTATCAACACATCTGCAGTGTGAATTTAATGAAATTACTCAATGCATTCAAGCAGTATCTATAAAACTACTATAGCGTATATCTGTTTATCCAATTCAGTATGCGAATTATTAATATTTTGTGTATAAGCTGAAAGAAGTGGCTTTGGATTCCTCCTTGTAAGTAGAGGAGAGGGAAAGACAGAGCCTTCATTGTGCAGGAGCAGATTGCTATGTGCAGGTAAGGTCTTTGACAGAAGTCTAGGGGACAGACCGGTGACTCCTCTGGTTAGGTGGAAGTACTTAGGACCCTGACACTCGCTTCCCATGCCTTATCCGTCTTGCTCTTTGCTCCATAGTTTATAATGCTGTGTACATTGTTAAATGCTTTCTCTGTGCTGACTGATTTGTCTTATTCATACACCACAGCTAATAGCATCCATTTGGTATATTTAGCACCTGGGAGTAGGTTGAATGTGTTCCATAGGTAAGAAATGCTATTGCTGCTACATGGGGCCTGTGTGCCTGTCAGCGGCTGTGTCATGAAGTGCAGTCTGTGGTCTCCTAGATCACCAGAGATGATCGCTCTCAGAGATGGAGCTTTTCTCCCCCAGAGTAGGCACTGGCAAGGTTTTCCCTATCAAGTGCCCCTTAGGGAATATTTTAGGCTTTGTGGACTAGACTGCCTCTCTCAGTACAATTTCATTTTGCTGTTATAGCATGCAAGTAACCATAAATAGTACCTTAATCAATTAGCTTGACTCTGCCCCAGGGGAACTTCATTCATTCACAAGTGCAGCAGCAGAGTACCTTAATCAATTAGCTTGACTCTGCTCCAGGGGAACTTCATTCATTCACAAGTGCAGCAGCAGAGTACCTTAATCAATTAGCTTGGCTCTGCCCCAGGGGAACTTCATTCATTCACAAGTAGCAGCAGCAGAGTACCTTAATCAATTAGCTTGGCTCTGCCCCAGGGGAACTTCATTCATTCACAAGTGGCAGCAGCAGAGTACCTTAATCAATTAGCTTGGCTCTGCCCCAGGGGAACTTCATTCATTCACAAGTGGCAGCAGCAGCCGCATTTGGTCTCATTTGTACTGGCTGATCCCTGATCTGGGTCTGTGGAGTCTGAGGAAGCGTGGTAAAGCTTGAAGACCTGTTTATCCCTGATCTAACTGCCACCTGCACAGCCTGGCGCCTTGAGCAAACTGAGAAGTGAGAACATACTTTCAGGATAGGAAGATGGGCAGGATTTCACTTTTGTTATTACAGTTTTGTTTTTGTTTTGTTTTTGTTTTGTTTGTTTGTTTTTTGTTTTTGTTTTTGTTTTTTTTGAGATAGGGTTTCTTTGTGTAGCTCTGGCTGTCCTAGAATTCACATTGTATGTAGACCAGGCTGGGCTTGAACTCATAGAGATCCACCTGCCACTGTTTCCTGAGTGCTAAGATTAAAGGCATGGGCCCTGAATTATATTTTTAGAAGGTAGTTTTACACTACTTGGAAATAATAAGGCAACAAAAACTTGGGAACACTGAATTTTAGTATGACGAAAACATATCTCCAATAGCTACATGTAGTCTGGAAAAAAGCTTTGAATTTTCTTCAATTATATGAAAGAAGGAAGTAATTTTCTCTAACTTTTATAGCATACCCTTTTATAAAAACTAGGTCATAGGTTCATAGATTGAAATTTCAGCCTCGTTTTACTGTTGATCTGTGTTAAACAATTTTCAGGGTGTGCCATGAACTTGACTGTCCTCTAAAGTAGACATGCTCTAGTGCAATAGTAAGATTAGTGCAGGTAAACTCACGCTCACTCAACTCATTGATGTGTAAGTTAGTGAAGAGAATCTCCTGGATGATGCCTTTAAGAATAACCAGCCTTCAGACTGACCCTAGGCCTTACAGTTCAGAACTCAGGAGGAAGGTATTCTTAGTAGACCAAAGTTCACTTAAAAGTAGTGGTTTGCGTGACAGGCATTCTTTACATTAGATACCAGAACTGTTTCTAGAAAACATAAGTGGCATTCATCAATCTTTACTGATTATTACTATATATAGTTGTGTCATTTGTAAAAACATTTTCAATTCTATTTACTTTTTTTTTTCTGTGTAATATTGTACTTATTCCAAATTACTATGCTAATCTTCACAGGAGATCATGAGTGTGGCAGTTCCAGTCAAAGGATGCTCTCTGCCCAAGAAGCAGCTGTGTACTTAAAGGTAAGCAATGACATCAGATTTTAGCCCTAGTCTTAAAGCTTATAAACGTCCATACCACTGCATTTGACCACCACTTTCATTGTACTGCTTAAGGCACAGCTTTTGTGTCCCCTTTTACAACTCATTGCCATACCTGAGTCAGTCTTTGCTCATCCTTGAGTGCAGTAGCCTCTGTCTCTTTTCTTGTGTTACTCCACCTGAGTGGTTCTCAGCCTCCCCAATGCTGTGACACTTTAATACAGTGTCACATGTCGTGGGGACCCCAGCTATAAAATTATTTTCATTGCTACTGCACAGCTGTAATTTTGATAATGTTGTGAATGTAAGCATTTGTTTCCTGATGGTCTTTGGGCAGATTGAGAAGTTCTGATCACCCCACTTGTGCAGTTTTTACATATATGCGTGATTATTTGCCTAGTTCTCTTTCTGAGATTGTGGATGTAAGCTGATTAAGTGTATTTATATCTAAGGATATAAAGCTAATTGCTTTTCTAGTTCTACTTCTGCTATGGATTTGACAAAGCAATGTCATTGTGGTTGTTTTGGAGGTGAATAAGTGCATAATATAGATTTGATATTAGAAGTGTAATTAATGAACACCTCTAAAGCTCTATTCTGAATTCGCCTCTATTCTGAATTCCTATTCTAACTGTAGAAGTTTGGTGAGTTGTATAGACTGTGTATAGTTAATTTTGGTGTGATGTTTTTATTTATTTGCAAAGTTTTTTTGTTTTAATAAAGGAGTCTTAGCATTTGGTGTCGTGTAAGCAGGTATAATAAAAGACAGTGGAAGTTTTTAGTGTTTTGTTTTAGTGTACTGTGTTTAAGGAAATGCACACCAATGTGTAAAGAGCATGGGTATTAACCAGCCCCTGTGATGCATGCTTGTACTCAGAGCTGCTTGGTAGGCTGGAGCAGGGGACCTGCTCGGAGCCCAGGTGTTGAGGACAGCCTGGGCAGCTTAGTGAGCCCCTGTCATAACAGAACGAAAGGTAAGGGAGACGTTTAGCTAGAATGAAGATAGGTGAGGGGCAGTAAAGCAAGGAGCTTGTCATTTGTAATCTGTTGCTCTAGACCAGTTTAATGTCAGGGGACGAAGAAAACGTGTGAGTTTTTCTCAGCTGCTACGGGTCATCCCTAAGACTATTTGAAAAACCCTAAGTTATAGATGCAAAATGCCACTCTGATTTGTGACAGGAAAATGGATTTTAAAAACCATACTGGAAAGTTCTATGACGGGCCAGTTCCGTGGAGATAACCCCATAAAGATCTGAATGCTTGCAGACTGAAATGTGACCCAGCCAGCTTGTAGACGGCTGGGTGGTTCGGTGGGAGTGTTATTTTCCACTCCCCCTTTCACATTGTGTTTTTAAAGTAACACGAATTGTCCTATTAATATTTTAAGTGTATTACAATGCAGTATGGTAACTGTATACACTCTGTTATATATCCAATCTTTAGGACATCACATTTTATATGACTGGAACCCTTATGGATTTTAGTCCTTTTGAGGCTATTGTAAACACAGTTGTTTTCTTCATTTCCTGTTGAGATGTTTGCTGTTATTATATAGAAACAGTTGGTTTTTGTACCCTACAAGTTTGATGAATTCATTTACTACTCTAAGAAGACTTTGGGATATAATCTTTAGAGGTTTTTTTTTTTTTTTTTTTTTTTTTATGTAGATGATTATATCATTTGTAAAAAGAGATTACTTCTTGCTTTGGATTTTGAAATTTCTTGCAAAAATTACTGGACTAGAATTTCTAGTGCTGTGTTGAGAGTGACCATTGCTCCCGTCTGATCTTAGAGAACAGCTCTGAGTTCTTCACTATTGCGCATGACTGTTAGCGTGGCCTTTTTATGTTGGCCTCTGTTACACTGGCATTATCAGCTTTTACTCCTGCTCTGTTTCGCTCATTGTTGAAGGCATGCTCAGTTTGCTCATGTGCTTTCTGCATCTGTTGATACAATCGTGTGGCTTAAATATTTTCATTTATTGAGAATGCAATATGAGTGTGGTATAACATGAGTACTGCATGTAATAAACAGGGTAGTAATATAAGACCCAGATAATATTGTGGGTTTTAATTTTTTTTTTTTTTTTATCTGTTAAGGGGTAATCTCATTCATATTTTCTGTGTTGAAATGTCTTTGTATCAAAGGGTCCTCATTTTCTGTTATTTCATCGAGGATATTTGTGTCTCTATTCATCAGTATTCACCTGACTTTTCATGTCCTGTCTGTCTAACTTTGATAATAAAAATCAACATATAAAGATCAGTTTGGGAGCTTGGAAGACGTTTTGGTGCGTAAAGACACTTGCCACCAAGCCTGATGACCTGAGTTCATTCAATCCTTGGGACTCATAGTAGGAGAGTCTTCTTACTGCCATATGTGAGCCGTTGAATGTACATATCCATGCATACATATACACCACAGTGAATAAATAATAAATAGATGTTAGCAGTTTTTAATTAAATAAGTTTGGAAATGTTTCTTCCTCTTCATTTTTTGAAGAATTTGAGGTTAGTATTAATTTTCTTTAATAAAGTAAGTAACGAAATTAGAAATGAGATCAGCTTTCAGACTTGACCAAGACCACATGAGTCAGTGGAGAACTGCGAGCGAGCGAGGCTCAGAGAAGTGGGGGGAGGTGCCCGGAGTTAGACTGGGCACGGGCGGGGGTCTCAGCCAGGCAGCCTGGTCTTGGAGTTTCATTTTCAGGTCTCCAAGTGTGAGAGCGCATGGTTGTCACATCATAGATTCAGTTAGACAGCTGCCAAAAATAAATACCCCCAGAACAAACAGAAATCACTACACAAGATTTTTTGTTAAAAATAGTGTCAATTTCTAGATAACTGTCTTTAAGTATTTCTTAAAATAGTGTTTTATTTTTAATACAAAATTATCATCTTAACTCACATGAAAAACAAAGAGAAAAGTTTTCACTGTAGACTGGTAATCCCTGGTAGCATTTGCTCTAGCTTGCTCTAGGCTTTTAAAGTGTATCTTTAAAATGAGTATGACTGTAAATATCTCATTTATAAATATTCATGTATTTACCCTAAGAATTATGTACATTTGCCTCTGTCATTAAAAACAGCTTAATTTTTAAAATTGTTGGCTGATATTTTATTCTGTAACTATTGCATTGGTTTTTCCCCTAGTCATTTCCTTAGGAAATAGTCCTAGAAAGGAAATTACTTTTTCAAAGAGCATTATCTTATAAAGAGCTTTTGATTCTTTTCAGCTTGCTGCCTAATTTAAAATGGCAGTTTAGCTCAGCCTAGCTTCAGCTTATTTTATCTGTGTAGTGGTACAAGGGCCCCTCCCCCAAGCATGGTACCAAACAATGATTATAAAGTATATACAACAAGCTTTCTGCTTACAGAGAAATCTTGTATTTATTCTATGTGTTTATATTACGATTTCATCTGCAAAACAGCTAACATTATTTGGATATGGGGTAAATGAACCAATCACTTTGTGGTCTCTTGGCTCAGCTCACATTGGAGAACGTAGAGCTCCCACAAATGGACATTGGCTCTCCTGGGTGCATTGTCGGTGGTCATGATGAGTAATTCTCAGTGTGACACTTTGTTTTGTTCAGTTTGAGTCATTACATTTTATTGTCATTTTCTTTATTCTGTTTTCTCCTTTAAAAGGGGTTTATTGAACTTACTTGATGAATGTATTTTATCTTACCTCCTGTTTCTATTGAGCCTTTCCAGATTTTGGTAGTGAAAGCTGACTTTTTTTGTGGAAAGTGAAGAGGTCCCTCTGGTGGATCTCTTAAGAAACACATGCTTTGTATTTCCTTGAACGTCCTTATTGGAACATTTCTTGATGGTTTTCCTGTGGGGTAATGTGATGAGTGTTGATTTCTAAGTTGCTTTCAAAGCCTGATTAACTTGACACAGTGAGCAATATTTAAGATTTGTGAAGAACATGATAGGGAAGTAGATAGCTGCAGATGTACCAAGTTATGGCCAGATAAGACTTTCATAGTTTAGCTTGGTATCTTCATTGTTGTTGTTGAAGTTTTATGTGGAAAATAAAGTATTCTCAAGAGGCCGGTGATGGGGGCTATTGCTTTCTGCAGTTATTACCTCTTTTGATCAGTAATGCTTCTGAAAATAATATGGTATTCTGGTTCTCTACATTTCTACACATTCCACTTGAGTTTGGTCTTATTTTTATCTTGCTGCCTTTCGTCTTTCTTTAGTTTTCGTTATGCAGAATTAAATCTTCTAATAGAAATTTGGGAAAAGAAAAAAGTGCTCTAAAAAGTGGGCTTTTACAGCTGGTTTTATCAAGTACTCAGTGTCCCTGGTGCTATGTGCTCTCTGTCCCACAGTGATCTAACAAAGCAGTGGCGTGAACCCTGCTTTATGGAAAAACTAGAGCTTAGAGGGTAGTGCCTGGGCCACCCAGCGGGAATGCGCGGGAATGCGCGGGAATGCGGTCAGACCTGGAGTGGGAGTCAGTCTGCCCTGCTTGCTTTGATGGCCCACCCTAAAGAAGTACTTAACTGTGGTATATTCGTAGACACACATTCTTCTCACAGTGTGTATATGTAGTTCATAATGGAGCTAAGATCTGGTCCCAGACCTGCTTGTCTCAAAATATAAACACAAAACTAAAAATCCCAGAAGTCGAGTTTCCATTGAGTCAATGGTTAAGTTACTCCTTTTTAGGCAGGGTCTCACAGGGTAGCCCTGGCTGGTCTGGAACTCCCTAGACCAGGCTGGTTTCCAAGCCACAGAGAAATGCCTGGCCCCGTATTATTTCTTGGTGTATAGCATATATCATCTCAAAAGTAAATGGAATATTCTCTAAAGTAAAGGCACATAGCTATTTTACTTTCCAGTGTCCTTTTTGTGAACTGTCCACACTGGGTTTCTAATTCCTGATTGCAGTACTTTAATATATGGTACGTAGGCACGTGCACACACCGCCCTTTCCAGATGAACTAGATTTTTAGAATAGCTGCCTACAATGTGTGTCTTAAAACCATTGTCACATGCATCAAATGTTAAGTTTCAGAGTGGAAAAGCAATTGTAGTTTGGTGCAGTGGTGACATCTGTGATCCAGGGGTGGTTAGCTTGCCAGGTCTATAGAGTTAGACCGTCTCAGAAACAAGACAGTACTATTTCATGGAAAAGACCCAGCAAGTTCAAGATGGCCCGTGCATTACCTTTATTAGCTTAAAAATCCTAGAAACAGTTTTGTGTAAGTCATGATACCTAGCAGAGTTAGCTGTGCTTTGTACAATTTAGTGTTTTTGCGAATTGACTATGCTAATAATCCACTGAATTAAAAAGTACAAGTATGACCCAATGAAAAAACTTCCAGTGTCATTGAAGAATCCGTTGGTATATTAATTCAACAGACACTTCTAAAAAAAAAAGTTCAAGTCTCAGTAATTTGCCATTTGCTTATTTGAAAATACTGTTCCATTTATTAACAGCAAAATAATTCATTGCCATGATATTTGAAAACAGACTTAAAGAAAGCATAGCAGAATATTATAGTGGTTATATTGGAATCATGAACTTTTCCTTTTTTATTTTTTGGTATTGAGCTACATGATTTCATTATTTTGTTTATGTGGTTAAGATAAAAACAGAGCATGTTATTTATGGGATGTTTTACATAGGACTGTTGACAGTAGTTTTCTATTTTTCTTGTTAGGATTTAGATCCTGCGTATGAAGATGTATTTAATACTTCATTGCTGTGGATTTTAAAAAATGGGAAAGATGTTGGCATAAGGTACAGGCTTTGATTTACATTTTGGTGATTTTGTATTGTAAGGAGTTTTTTTTTTTTTTTTTTTTTTAATAAATTTTGATCTCTATCGTAATTATTTTTAAATAGGTGTATTGGTCTTGGGCCTGAGGAAGAGCTGACAGACATAACTGATGTGCAGTTTTTACAGTCCACCAGGCCCCAGATGTCTTTCTGGTGTCGTTTCCGACGAGCTTTCGTCACTGTGGCCCACAGGCTGTTGTTGCTGTGCTTAGGTGAGTGCCTAGGTGAAGCTGCTTCCACAGCTTGTGTCTCAGGCGGTGTTAGTCATGGGCCTGGCCCTGCGCCTGTAGAGGTCTTCACTGAGTAATGAGTGCGCTTTCGGTAGCTGTGACCACACATCCCACAGAAATGACAAGAAGGATGGGAAGCGTCGGTCACGGGAAGGAGGGTTTGCAGAGCAGATAGCACGGAGGCCAGGAAACAGAGAGAGTGGCTGAGACAAGTGACCTAATGTCCCGCCAGCTGGTGACCTGGTCCGTGTGAGGAGACATTTTCATGTGCAATGGTAACAGTAAAGCTGAGGGTTATTTATGGCAACTGTGACCCTAAGGGCTTAGAGAATAGTAGTGTGGAGAGAAAACTTTGTCATGGGAGTCATAGAAGGGGCAGGCATAATAAATAGTATGTATAAAGAAACCTACTTTTAGAAAATAGAATTGGGGAGTAGAAAAGATGAGCTTATTTTTAAATAAGATAAGCTCTAAATTTCTGGTTTAAAATATCATGGGAATTTTTTAAATTTAGGTTCTTTTATATTTCATAATATAGCGCTTTAAACATAACTCGGTTTACTTTAATGTTTAGTATGTTTAGTAAAACTCACTTTTCTAGTAGTTTAGTGCTGAAAGAAAAGCCTGAAACATTTTTTTTTTTTTTATTAATAGGGATTTAAATACTCATCTGTTACTGTGATGGAAGAATTTCTTTAGAGAGGGGTGAAATTTTGAGAAAGTACTTAATAGAAAGTTTTTCTGTGTAGTTCTATTATACAGGTGATTCAAACCTTTGCACTTCATTATTCTGTTAGGGTAGTGGAGGTGATCCTTGCTACTAGCTACAATGTAACTGACTCAGCTATTCCTTTAGGGCAGTGGAGATGGTCTCTGTTATACCTGCTACAATGTAACTGACTCAGCTATTCCTTTAGGGCAGTGGAGATGGTCTTTGTTATACCTGCTACAATGTACCTCCCCATTGCTAACTACAGTCTTAATGCCAACTCTGTGATTGTTGCAGGTGTAGTGATGGTTTGTGTTGTTCTCCGTTACATGAAATACCGCTGGACTAAGGAGGAAGAGGAAACAAGGCAGATGTATGATATGGTGGTAAAGATTATAGGTACGGAATTTGTAAAATCCTGAACTATTTCTGGAAAACTTACCATGTGATAAAGCTACAACATAGTTGTCAGAAGTTGATTTACTTACACAATTGTTGATTTATTTTCAGATGTTTTACGAAGTCATAATGAAGCTTGCCAGGAAAATAAAGATTTACAACCGTATATGCCTATTCCACATGTTCGAGATTCCTTAATACAGCCCCATGACAGGTGTGTAAGTCACCGCATTGAGATAGATCAGACTGTGGGAGACTGGGATTTTATTGAGAGTTGTGATAACTATACCTGCTTAGCTGGAGAGACTTTAAAGTATTTTCTCAACACTTCTGTTTGCCTCCTGACTTTCAGTGTGTCATAGGATAGCTGGTTTATCCTTATTCCTGCATATCTTGATTCTTGTTTGCCAGTCTTCCTCCTTCTTATCCCTTTAGTTTTTGTTATGCTAAGAAACAGAGACAGACAAAAGCTAGTTATATTTTTTTGTAATATTTTAAGTACTTAATGTTATTACTGAAGCTTTTAAAATGAAAGCTAGAATCTAACTTTTCAAAAATGAAAAAACCATCCATATTCTGAAAGCTGTGGGTCTTGAGTAGCATGCCTTCACCACTAGTGGATGAAGGAGGCACATGCTCAGCTCTGTAGATAAACTTGAGGCGAGGCATAGGCATCTAAGTCCTCTTTAGATTAACTGTCAAGAATGGTATTAGGTGGGGAGGGTGGGTGGTTGGGGTACAGAGACAGATGACAGACTAGCTAGTTAACAGTAACTGTTACTTCAGTTACTGACATTTCCAAATGATGACAAGCCAAGATTAAAGTACATTTGTCGTTCCGTTTGTGTGATAGGAAAAAGATGAAGAAAGTCTGGGATCGAGCCGTTGACTTCCTTGCTGCTAATGAATCTAGAGTACGCACAGAAACACGAAGAATAGGAGGTGCAGATTTTCTGGTCTGGCGGTGGATCCAGCCTTCTGCATCCTGTGATAAGATACTAGTAATACCTTCTAAAGTATGGCAAGGCCAAGGTATGTATTTTCCAGAAAAACCAAACATTTTCTCCTAATTTTTGAAAAATATACATTATATATTTAACTGAAACACTATAATTCGAAGATATGTGAATCCAAATCTTCCCTTTCTAGATGCACCCTTAGAAAGAGTAAATGTTAGAGCAGATCTGGTTTGTCCGTGCTGTAATAAAGACAGATGTCCCGTTGATCTCAGTATTATAGCTCTAATGGCTTTCTTCTCATCAAACACATGAGTCATTGTTACAGTCATTGTTAATATGTGTTCAGTATATATTAAATGCACACGCACACACACACACATACGCGTGCGCACACACGGAAGCATGACTAACATTCTGTTTTCCAAGTTTTGCTTGCCTTTCTCCTGTTTCTTACGAGTATGTTACATCCCTTTAGGGATCTTGTATAGCTCTGTCTTTGCCTGGTTTTCTTAATAGTGTGTGCAGTTTCAGAAAGAGTAAAATATGTAAGGAGTTTATATGCCTACACAGGAGAAGCATGTATGTAAAATAGCAAATAAAGGGAGTATAATAGCAAAGCCCTTTTCCTACCAAATCATGCTTATTATTATTTGGAAACAGTGTTCCTAGAAAAGATAAATGCAGTGTTTGTTTAGAATTGCATTTCTATGAGTACAGTCATATCATTTGCCCCCTCTAATCAGTTTTACTTTAAAAAGCTTTAATATTTTTTAATCATGGGGTTGGGTGCTTAGTGGATAGTTTGGATCTGGGTGGAGTTGAGGGAGTGAAAACCAAATATAATCAGACTATATGACCATGGGCTTTGGCTACAGCCCCTTTCCCTGGTTTCTCTCTGCCCTGCTCTTCCCGTCCACCGTCCAGTCCTATGGTTGTGTCCCATGCCCCTCCTCTTCCTGCTTCTACATTTTCCTCTCTTTTTTGCAATTTCTCGAAGCTGCCTTCTCATTTTTACTTTTTTTTATTCACCTTTTCTTATGTGGTGGCTTCATTTAATTTACATATGATAATTCCGATGTGTGTACCCCGTGAAAACTCACCTTCTCTTCTAGGCGATGCGCACTACCCTGTCTCTTCCCACAGTCACTTCTCTGGTGCCTTAGTCTGGACAGCAGTGCGCTCCTCTCTTGGCTCCCCCACTTACCCGGAAGCCATCCTTAGGCTGTCCTTTGTCTCCGCTTGCTTGGTCCTTGAACTGATCACGTCGGGTGCGCTCCTGTCCACCGCGGGGACCTTGGCCTCACTTTTCACGCCACTGCCTCTTGGACAACAGACAGTCTCTGGCTGTCTTAATCACTCTGCCTAATTGATTTTTCACAGTTGCTTCAATTTTACTAATATTTAAAGATAGATCTTGTCTTGTGGTTCGTCTTCAAACACTTGGGTGACTTTGTATTACTCTGACATCGTTGTGATACTTTTCTGTGGCCAACACCGGCCCTGAACGAGCTGACTTCTCCTTTGCCAGGCTCTCCTTTGTGCTTGCAGTCACTCGCATGTGCCATTTCTTTCTCAACACAGGGCCGTGCACACTTCGCCTCTCTCCGAAGGGACCTGTCACTCATCTCCTCTGCTGCTTTAATTTAATTCAGTTCTCTGCCTCAGGGAGCTCTTAACTTGCATGACAGGGACTTACCGCAGCTCTAATCCCCTGGAAGACACTGTCCAGTTGTCTGGCTCTGGACAGTGATGATTGTCTTACTCCACCCTAATTAACTGGCTCATTAAAAGCACACAATAAGTATTTTTTTTAACGAACTAAAAGATAGTTTTTCAACAAAATGCAACAATTTCAAGTAACACAATTCATTTTTTTTTTGTAGCATTTCATTTAGATAGAAGAAATTCACCACCAAACAGTTTGACACCATGTTTAAAGATTCGAAATATGTTTGATCCAGTTATGTAAGTATTATACATATAATTTTTATTAGGGGTATTTGGGTGGAAAGTGCTTGGTATTTCTACTATGCTGTGTCTAATTGGAAATTTTTAAAAATCATTGCTAAGTATAAATCTAATGCTTTTCTCCTTTGGTTAAATGCCAAGCAAAGGCATCTCCCGCAGGCTTTAGCAGTCAGTCCCAGTCCATCGTTTGGTTGCATTAGGCAGATGCAAAGTGAAGTTGCTCTTCCTTTTGCCCTCCCGTCTGTGACTCACCCACAGTGAGACAGATGAGCATGTGTGCTGTAACAGACGCTCTCGATGCTCTCGATGCACTTGCCGGCCGCCATGACAGCCACGCACTGTGTTTGGCCTGGGGCCTTTTGTTTTGGACAAGAAGTTTGGAATGTAGTGTTTACATCGAATAAACTAACAAGAAAGGAAACAGTGTTCTTCTTTTGCAACTTTAATGCTAACACTAGTCTGGAAAAAGAAAGGAAACAACTTGCAAATATAGCGGTCCACAGAAAGACTGGGTTTACTTGTTATACTGTAGTGTGAGGAGCGAATACAGAGTTAGGAATAGCGTAGCATGGTTGATTTTTGTTTCTCTTGATTTCAGGGAAATAGGAGATCAATGGCATTTGGCAATTCAAGAAGCAATTTTAGAAAAATGCAGCGATAATGATGGCATTGTTCATATTGCAGTAGACAAAAACTCGCGTGAGGTAAAGTCGTGTCTGATAGTGAACGCATTATTTTGTATCTGTTGCTGTTAAACTAAGACTATTCTTTTCTCTCTCGGTTTTCTTTTACAGGGTTGTGTGTATGTTAAATGTCTGTCTCCGGAATATGCTGGAAAGGCTTTTAAAGCATTGCATGGCTCTTGGTTTGATGGTAAGAAATTTGAGTATTACAAAGATTTGGAAAGGAAAATTAGTTGCATTTAATTATGCCTGATTTTAAATGAAATAATTTTCATTTAGCATGTTTTGAATAATAATTTTAGGTGAGTTTTGTTTTATAGCTCTAAAATACTATTTTTATCTTGCAACAGGGAAGTTGGTTACAGTGAAATACTTACGGCTAGATAGATACCACCACCGCTTTCCCCACGCTCTTACGTGCAACACTCCCTTGAAGCCATCAAATAAACACATGAGCTCTATGTCACACCTGCGCCTTCGGACTGGCCTGGCCAATTCTCAAGGGAGTTCCTGACTTTATTTAAACAGGAAAAGTTCCTGTTTGGCCTCCCGTCTTCCTTTTAAAGTGCTTTTTGTCTGTAATATTTTTATTGCTGAGGACAGCTGTTTGAAGGTCGCAAAGGGATTTAGCAGAGCGGCCACAGTGCTGAGTGGGCCGAAAGACTGGTTTCTTCCACTCTGGGGCTCAGTTGAACCACTGCACTTGAAAAGTTGTGCACAAGGAGCGCTGTCTTCATATGAAGCCTTTCAGGGATGGTGGTTGTAGTTTTGCACCAAGAAGTGATTGGATAACCACACAAAAGCATAGCGAAGCAGCCTTTTATATTTCCATAATTTCTCGTGAACTAATGTGAATTTTTGTATACAGTCAGCTGCATAGTTCCTTACAGGCTACTATGGTAAAGCTGTTCATTTCCCACTTTAACCTTAGGTTTCTGTTGCTTGTAAAAGGTTCATTTGCTGCAGCTGGAATATGGGGAAATTTATTTGGTTTTAATGGTTTCATACATGTGTAAGTGGATGTATATGTACCTAAACGGCTTTTGTATATATGTATAAATGCTGATGGTAGTAAAAGTCTTGTTTTGTGAGAATGTCTGCATTAGCAGTACAATAAGCTTTCTATTTTATTCATTATCTAATTTGTGTATATATGTATGTACATAGCTGTGTGTTTATGTACATACGTAGTTGTACATATGTACATATACACACAGATATATACATATGGCTGTACTGTCATAGATGATCAAACAGCCAAATACCTGGAAGTATTAGATACATGTTTAAAATACCTTTTATAGATTTTATATAAAAATGCCTGAGTATGATTTTGTGTGAAAGTTCTGGCACCAGTTGTAATGAGTTCAAATTTATGTGAGCAATAAAGAAGCAATTGGCAGATACTGGAAAAGTATTTTGTGAAAAGCTGTATTTATTATAAATGCTGGGGCTATAACATACTTGGTGTTGGGAGTATGTCATTTTCCCAGTCTGTTTATAGCTCCTGTTCTATGTTCAGTGTAGAGCAGGCATGTTGTTGCAGCAAAATGTGTTGTACAAATTATCCTTGGAATGTTGGGCCATGAAAGTTTGCAATGTAGAACATGCACAAATGACCATTGGTTTGTGTGTCAGTGTTTGTTTCAGTAAAGCTACTTTATCATTGCTTATGATTTCAGATCAAAACAGTTACTTGATCAAGGGTTATGTGTGACCTAAAAATTGGCTTTTTGAAACACAACCCTCTGGATATATCATTGTTGGTCCAAATGAGTATGCGAAACAGCCGGAATTACCAATTGCAATACTTGTTTAAGTTCAGCCTTCTTTTTGTTGTATATGTGTTGGGTTTGCAGCATGAACTTGCACAGATATGCACGTTTTCTGCTTAGTAAACATGATGCACACTATTCTGTAAGAAAACCCTTTGTGCCTTACCTGTGTGCTTCTGTGGGCACCATGTTTATGAAGAATACATGTTTGTTATCAGAAGAGAGTGAATGTTAAATTCTCAATTTATGTCTCAGATGCTAACGTGTTAAAGTATAAATATATAATATATAAGTAACTAGTCTTTCTGTATTTTATGTGCATCATAGTGATTTATTTGAGCTTAGTGACCCCATCTTGTAACCTGTTGCAAGAGTGAATGTAAAAAATCGTTGTGACGTCTTAACAGGTCACCTTTAGATGCGGGATGCATCTTCTTCTTGCTTCTAAGATGTATTTCATGTAAACATTGTACATTTATTACTGTAATATATACTATTATGCATCTTATTTTACCTGGTACTCTTTAAGCTGACCAAGAGTCCTCCCTAGAAGACAGATGGGAATGTGTATAATAATTAGGCATTATTTGAAAAGTTCTGGTTCGATGTAATCTGTTTTTTTTTTTTTTTTTTTTTTTTTTTTTTTTGTTCTGTTTAAAAAAAGAAGGAAAACATTCTAATTAAAAATTTATTAGGTTTTTTAAAATCGCGTGTTTGTTTTAAAGAAACTTGTAAAATGTCTTGTATCTTCCCTTTTGCCAGTGAGAGTGGGTGGGTGTCTTTATTTCAAATCTCTTTTATCTGAGGCTCTATGGATAGCTCTGTTTATAAGGATGAGGATTATAAAGTTAGTTTCTTGGGTGTTGATTTTAGTTTTTTGAGATGAGTCTTACTCTATTTCCTAGACTGGACTGCAACTCAACTATGTAGTGTGGGCTGTCCTCTGACTTGGGAATCCTCCTGCCTCAGCCTATGGGCTGGCCTCCGACTTGGGAGTCCTGCCTCAGCCTGTGGGCTGGCCTCCGACTTGGGAGTCCTGTCTCAGCCTGTGGACTGGCCTCCAACTTGGGAGTCCTCCTGCCTCAGCCTGTGGGCTGGCCTCCGACTTGGGAATCCTCCTGCCTCAGCCTGTGGGCTGGCCTCCGACTTGGGAGTCCTGCCTTACCTTCTCAAGCGCTGAGATTACAAGGCTGGGGCACCATGCCCAGTTGTCACATTAATTATAACCACCCTTTTCCAGCATTTTAGACAAATAGCATATATTAATGATACACAGTAATGTGCTTTGTTATATTTTTATTCGTGTACACAATGTATATTCATTCCCCATTACCCTCTCTTCCTCTTCCCATTCTTGCTGATCCCCATCTTCTAAATTTGCTATTCTTTATGGCCTCGTTTAACCCTCAAATGTTCTATCAAACGATGACAAGAATGGAAATCAGCCGAGTCACTAAACACTTTAGTTTCCTCAGTTTCCTCAGCAAAGACAGCAGTGTGTGCATCGTGACTGAAAGCCCTGCCCATTATAAACCAGTCACAAACAACCCTTTAGATTTGCATCATTAGTCAGTCACGTGGTGGACTTATGGCTTGCTAATGTGGTTGACAGTGGTCTCTGCTAGGAAGTCAGAGATGGAAAGCACAGGCTAATATTGAAGGTGGTCACGTCTGGAGGGAGAATATAGTAAGTTAAAAGACAGTGTGGGGAGCATGGAAGGAAAGTAGGCAGGGTTCTGAGGTAGCGGAATCTGATGCTTCTTAGTAGATGAGATACAGAACAGGGATACTCTGCCTAAATTAAGTCTTAAGTGAGTGTATATTGAATCTACCCAGGAATGCTACTTTAAAAGCATTATCCTGGGTCTAAGTTTGTGGTTTGATAACTTAGATCTTTCTCCCCTGGCTGCTTTGCAGTCTCACACTTTCATTATTGGAGGGTTCATATGGGTGTACACGTTGCAGGCAGTGTACATGTCGGGGATTCACCCGTGTTGTGTGCTGTGGAAGCCAGCAGCAGTCAACTTGCTGTGTCATTCCCCGGGAGCTGTTCACCTTGATTTTGTTGTGGGCGTGGTGTGCCATGGTTTGGGAATGGAGGTCAGAGGACAACTTTTCAGTAGTCAGATCTCCTGCCACCATGTGGGTTCCAAGGATCAAACTCAGGCTCTCAAGCATGGTAGCAAGTGCCTTTACCTGTTCCAGGTCATCTGTTCTGCCCACTTCTTTTTCTTTTATTTTTGACAGCCTCATTAGCCTAGAGCTCATTGGGTGTCCTAGGCTGGCTGATCTGCCTGACTGGGCTTCTCCAGCACTGGGATTAGAAGTGTGCATACAGCACCACAGGAGGCTGTTTTATGGGGGGTACTGGGGATTGAACTCATGTTCTCACGATTGTGTGGCCAGTGCTTTACCAACCAAGTTATCTGGATCCCACCCCCCACCCCCTAACAAGTTTTGGTATGTTATATTTCCTTTTGCATTCACCTTAGAGTGCTTGTTTCTTTTTAGTTTCTCCTGTCTCGCTGGTTATTTGGGAATGTGTTGCTCCATGGAGAATTTCAGGGTAGCATTTTGCTCTCTGCTTCTAATATTATTAAGAGTTCATTTTATGATTTGATTCGTAAAAGTTGAGTTATTTTACGGCTCAGGACAGTCTTTCTGGTAGAACTTGTATGTGCACTCGAACGGAAGAATGTTCCTTGCTGTTAGTGCATACAGTGTTTCGTAGGAGCTACTACGCAGATCCTCTGTCTGCACTAATTTTCTCGGTACTTGTTAATGATTATTGATTGGAAATGAGTTTCTTTTTCCTGGTCTGTTTTCTCCTTCATGTTCTGTAAACTGTATTATCTGGTATGTAGACACTTGTATTCTCTTTCTTGGTGTTTTGGTTCCTGGAAATAATCTTTGCTCTGAATTTACTTGGACTTATACTAGATTTGTCTGCCACTCAGGCCTTCTTTTAATTTGCGATAGAATTGTCTGTTTTCTCTTCTCACCATCCTATTTATTTATACTTTGTGTGTTTGGGTTCATCTGCCACTAGGCGGGTGTGTATGAAGGTCAGGGCGGTGTGTATGAAGGTCAGGGCGGGTGTGTATGAAGGTCAGGGCGGGTGTGTATGAAGGTCAGGGCGGGTGTGTATGAAGGTCAGGGCGGGTGTGTATGAAGGTCAGGGCGGGTGTGTATGAAGGTCAGGGCGGGTGTGTATGAAGGTCAGGGCGGGTGTGTATGAAGGTCAGGGCGGGTGTGTATGAAGGTCAGGGCAGGTGTGTATGAAGGTCAGGGCGGTGTGTATGAAGGTCAGGGTGTGTATGAAGGTCAGGGCGGGTGTATATGAAGGTCAGGGGACAGTTTTCAGGAGTCTGTTCTCCTCCCACCATGTAGGTTCCTAGGGCTCAAAGCGATCATCATCCTGGATAGGAAATGCCTTTATCTGCTGAGCTGTAAATTTTAATTTGTGTCTTTGTATTTAAAGAATGCTTCATGTAGGAGTATTTAGGTTGTTTTTAAAGTCTAGTCTGACTGACTTTTAATTGGATTAGATGCATAGTATTTAAAGTGAGTATTGATTTACTTTCTTTCCTTTTTATAAAATGTGTCTGTTTTTTTCTCTTTTCTTATAAATACACATATATACATACGTATGTACACACATGAAATTGAAACTAAATATATAGTTGTTTTTTTATCAAGTACAGTTATTGTATTTTAGCGCCTTTTTGGCTTTGTTTATGTCATTTGAGTTTATAATACACATCACAAATTTATCACAATCTACTTTTAAGTCAGTTTTACTGCCTTGTATATAGTACCAGAACTTACTGCCCTTACCTCTTTCTCCCCTACCTTCATGTTACTGTTTTGTTTGTGTGTGTGATGATGTCATCATCTCTCTTTCCAAGTGTCTTCCTCTTATCTTGTGCTTAAAATTATTTATATCTTTATTAAATTCCAACCTTGGCTAAACATACAAAAATAACTTAAACTAATGAATGAGTTTAGTTAAATTACAGAATACAAAATTAACATATGAAAATTGGTGGTAGTTCTGTGTACTAATGCCATTTGAAAAAGAAATAAAGATGACCATTTAATCCACAGTAACTAACAAAAATAAAATACTTAGGAATACATTACCAAGGAACTGAAAGATATGTAACCTGAAAATTACAAAATACTGGTGAAAGAAATTCAAGAATAATATACACAAGTGAAAATATACCCCATCATGGAAGAATAAATGTTGTCAAAATACCCAGTCTACCCAAAATGATTTATAGAATCAATGCAGATTTTTGTTAGTTCCTTTTAAAAAATAGTATAGCTCAAGATAACCTTGAACTAATACCCCTCTATAAGTACTGAGATTAGAGTTGTGTGTCACTCTGCCTGGTGCAATTCAGTGTTTGCCTGTTTGACTCGAACAACTAAGACAATCTGAAGAATACAACCACACAGGAAGCATCACATAACCTGGTGTCAAGATAGTCTGCCAAACTACAGGGATCAAGGTACCATGTCCTGTCATGAGGTAGACCAGTAAGCCAAGAACACACACACACACACACACACACACACACACACACACACACACACACACACACACACCACGCACGCACACATACTGGAAAAGGAGTGTTTTCCTTAAATGGTACTGGGGAAGCTGGATGACTACACACAGAGAAATTAGATCATCACCTCACACCACATAGACAGTTAACTCAAAATGCATTGAACACTGAAGCCATGTAGCCTGAAACAAACCACTGGAAGGGAAAAATGGAGTAAAAGCTTCATGAACCTGGTTTGGGCGTTCGTTCGTGACATGACACTAACTCACAGAAAACAAAAGTGAAAATACACCTGCAGGGTCGCATGAAACTAAAACCCTGCTGTACAAGCAAAAATGGAACGAAAAGGGAATCTCTACAACCCAGAAGGTCTGTAAATGGTTTTTGTTTTGGTTTGGTGCACCATAGGGTGAACTGAAGTTTACTGTAATAAGGAAATGTACTGTGTAACCCAGACTAGCCACAAACTCCCAATCCTACACTTCAGCCTCTTGAATGTTCTTAAAGTTGTGCAACGCTTAAGTCCAGTTCGAATCTCACATCTCGTATAAGGAGTTCATATCCAAAATTTATAAGGAATTAACACAACAGCAAGCAAGCACATCCTGATTAAGAAATGGGATCAAGCATGTGAATAGCTACTTCTCAAATGGCCGGCCAGCGTGTTAAAAGAGTAACCATTATGGAGATGCAAACTAAAGTCAGCAAAGTCCACCGAGCCCATCCAAAGTAGGTGTTGTCATGGATGTGGGGAAATGGGAATCCTGCACACTATTAATAGGAATGTTAGCCATCACAGTCATTATGGAAACGGTAAAGAGCAGAACTGCGGTATGATCCACAGGGCCTTCGTTACTAAGTGCATGTCTCTGTTAGTCCGCTTCCTGTTACCATAACAAATTACCTAAGGCAATTAACGTAGGTTGCTTTGGTTCCTGACTCTAAAGGGAAGTCCGACACTGAGTGGTCTCATAACTGTGAACCTTTGGCAATAGTGGCACATGATGGCGAGGCTCATTGCAGAGCAAGTTGCTGTCCTAATGGGCCAGGAAGCAGAGTTAAAGGGACTAGAAGAGAGGCCATTGTCCCACCATCACCTGCAAAAGCATGATGCCAAGGGAAGACCGCC